GAGAGTTCCTAGGCTATTTTCAATTGTGAAATGCTTTACTAGAACCGAAAAACAGGGAAGATGAGTTTTCACTAACATCAGTTAAAATAGCTTTTGCTTGCTTATGCTTGCTGTAGTTTTCTCTCTGGTAAACAGGATTGAGAAATTAGGACTAAAGAAATATGATCAGAACTTTTACTATTTCTAATTCTCCTTAACAGGAAAGAAAGTGTCTGATTCTCTCATAATGCTTCAGCTGGATTGCAAAATTGAGGATTTCTAGTTTTGATCTCAATTTGTAAGATCCTTGTTAACACAAGTAAACCAAATGATAAATTGCCTTCATAGCATAATCAATAGGTCTGTGTTGCTGGGCTGCTTATAAAATGCTGTTTAGCATTTTGACATTGACAATTTTCATTTGGGAAGTACATGATTTTGGTATATTCTCTTTAGCAGTGCATGCAATATTATTATTATTATTATTATTATACTTTTTTTTTAAACAGTTTTCAGCTGAATATCTTATTCTTGTATAAGAGACAAGCAACAATCTTGAATTACTTTGTTATCCTTATCTATACCTTTTGTGCTTTCATGTTAGTACTGTCCTTGTACTGCAAAATGGATATTATGCTAGGTACAGTTGATGGAAGTATTGTCCTTGTGAAAATAGGCTTGAAGAGAAACTTTCCAACTTGGAATCAGAAAACAAAGTTCTTCGCCAGCAGGCCCTTGCAATGGCACAAAGTAATAAGTTGCTATCCAGCCGCTCAAGGTCAATTATGCAGGTAAATTTCGAAAATTGAACTGTTTGTCTGTGATTACAATGTATTATCAGTTACTAACACCTTCGTTTCGTTGTTATTTTTTAAAACTGACAGAGGACTGAAAGTACAAAAACCAATGTCGTAAGTTCAACTTTAAGAGTTTATAGTTTAATTCTAATATTTCTGTATATGTTAGGGTTATATTCATATATTCACTGTTACAAATTTATAGGACCTACATAGTGCTTCAATGAATGCAAGGGATTCTTCAGAGGCAGAGGGAAGACCTCAGAAATCGCTTAATGAGAAGCAACAGGAGTATCAGGACTTGCTCCTTCGCTGTGTTGCGCAGCATCTAGGCTTCTCTAAGGGTAGACCAGTTGCTGCCTGCATCATATACAAATGCCTGAGACAGTGGCATTCATTTGAAGCTGAGAGGACAAGTATTTTTGACAAAATAATCCAGACCATCGGCCATGCTATTGAGGTGATAAGAAGAAAACTCACTGTTTACCTGCAATTGAGGACTGGTATTAATAATTGAATTTTCTTTCTAGCAGAAGACTCAGGACAATAATGATGTCTTAGCCTATTGGCTATCCAATGCTTCAACATTGTTGCTGCTGTTGCAACGCACACTGAAAGCTGGTGGCACTACCGGGGTGACTACTCAACACCGGCGATCACCATCAGCAACTCTGTTTGGGAGAATGACACAGGTAAAATATCAGATCTACTTCTAGATTTCACTCCATAAAACATATACATGTTTTACAATACAACCTTCTGCAGAGTTTCCGGGGAACTCCTCAAGATGTCAACCTTTCTCTGATTGATGGTGATTTGGCTCGTAGAGTGGATATTCTACGCCAGGTTGAAGCAAAATACCCTGCGTTGCTTTTTAAACAGCAACTTACAGCTTATGTGGAGAAAATTTATGGAATGATCCGTGATAATTTAAAGAAAGAGATTTCTCCAGTGCTTGGGTTGTGCATTCAGGTGCTAGCCTATATTCAGAAATCATAACATATTTGCACAAAGTATTTGATCTGATTTGAAATTGCATGACTAATGCAAGTTTAATCATCCAGGCACCAAGACTATCCAGAGCAACCTTGCTTAAGGGCACAGCACGCATGCTTGCTAATGCTGCTGCTCAGGAGATTTAATTGCTCATTGGCAAGGCATTGTGAAGAGCCTAGGAAACTTTTTAAGTATCTTAAAAGCTAATCACGTGAGAATAGCATTTGCTGCATCTTTGTTTGGTGTGCTTTCTTTTATCTTATTTCTTGTTCAGCTTCAGGTTGGCATGATTTTATTATACTATTCAGTTGATGTTGTGTTCTTTTTTTATTTTTATTTGGGTTTAAATACCCAGCCCTGGTTACAGCATAAAACTTTCTGTTACTACAGTTTTGATTAGAATAAACATAGTACCTCTGGGGTTCTGTCATTGCTTCTGTTTTTGAATACATTCAATCATCTAGATTTCCTTGTAATCAATTCATATACCTTATCATCTGTTTCCATTCAAGAGTTTCATGGTTATACTCGATTAGATCTGTCAGGGTGACCTCCCCATTCTTTAATCTCTGTTTTAGGGAACAAAAATTGGTGTTGGTGGCCAACATTTTCTGGGGAAATAGTCTCTAAAGGTTGTTGTGTATTCTTTCCCAGTTAGGTCATTGCATCCACTGAACAGAGAAGTTAATAAATAAATAAAGTTTTGAACTGTAATAGGACCATTGGGACTGTTTTTGATCCTTTCAAAACAATGTTTGGGTTTATTCCCGGTACTTGTACCCTTGATCACTTCTTTTCACATCAAAAAGTTACGCTGAATCTTTTATTATCCTGCTATTTTACTATAAAATTTATTGCTTGTTCTTCTGCTAAGTAATTTAAGTTGTTAATTTTGTTTTCAATTCAACAAATTTCAAGTCTTGCAGCTAAGATTATCTGAATGGATCCCGAACCTTGACAGTCCAAATTGGTACCATGGGCCGAATACCCTGATTACATACTCCCCCAAAACATTGACCTCATTGGTTTTCCTGGCTTATAAGACAGTTGAAATATCACTTCCTAGTAGTCAACTGTCATGGCTATGAAGTGTCTCTGTATTTATATAACCTATATCTTCATATCTTCAAGATTTAGGGAAACATATAATGTTAACCATTGTACTACGTATAGGGCAATAACCAACCTTGTTGATACTAGATATTTTGTGGTAACTTGTCTGATTATTGTGTTTAAAATCATGCTAAGTACACATCTCGCTACAGAATGTCGGCAATGTCTTATTTAATGATGGATAGCTACTTAGTCTGATCTTGTAGTTCAAGGATGGTATGATGGAATTGCCAAAAACTTGCGCTTATGATTGACAATCCTTGTTCTATTTATTGTATTTTTGGTGATGGAGAGCTGTGTTTACTTTTAGGTGCCTCCCTTTCTGGTGCGCAAGATTTTCACGCAAATTTTTTCTTTCATCAATGTGCAACTCTTCAACAGGTATGTTGTCTTTGGCATTTGCTTGTTTCCCAACTGTTTGCTATATTATGAGTCTAGTTTATCAACTTATTTCAGTTCTTCCCGTGTCTATTTTTCATTGTTATAGCCTCTTGCTGAGACGAGAATGTTGCTCGTTTAGTAATGGAGAATATGTGAAGCTGGGTTGGCTGAGCTGGAGCACTGGTGCTATAATGCTACTGATGAGGTTAATCTTGCTTTCCTGATATACACTTTCTTGTATTGATTTCCTTGCTAAAGAAGAAATTTTGTTGCAGTATGCTGGTTCATCCTGGGACGAGCTTAAGCATATAAGACAAGCGATTGGGTTTCTGGTACACCACCATCTTCTCTTGCTGGAAAACTTTCTGCTCGTTATCATGTTAATTGAAGAAAAGGCAGTTACAGTGTCCGTTGGACAATTTGATCCTTTCATTCAAGCATGCACCTTTGATTGGAATCAGTGAACATATTCTGTATTCGGAAAATGTTTGAGGTCTTAATCATTGATTCTGTATTTTTGGGGAAGCTGGGGGTGGGGGGAAGCGGGGGCAAGTGAGGTGAGATTGAAATTCCGCACATTTCACCACTTGAAAGTTATGATGATGTCTTTGATTTTTTTGCATCAGGTTATACATCAAAAGCCCAAGAAGACGCTCGATGAAATAAGTCATGATCTATGCCCTGTAAGTAGTGCACATGAAAGACTATGTTTAGGCTTTTGTGATAGAACGTTTGAGATCTTGCTGATTACATGTTGATATGATTTACAGGTGCTTAGCATTCAACAGCTCTACAGGATCAGCACAATGTACTGGGATGACAAATATGGCACGCATAGTCTTTCCCCAGATGTAAGTCCTCCTGACTGATTTACCAATTCAATGTTTAGCGCTACTCTATTGATCTGTTAGTACTCTCTCAGATATCGAGCTTTACTTGAAACTGGGATGATTGCATAGTTTTAATGGCTGACCTAGCTCCTCTGAGATTGTTATTAACATCCGACTAGATATCAAAATACTAATTGATTTGCTCTTTCACGATAGCATGGTATGAGAAAAAGTGCATTAAAAAGAAAAGTACGAATCACTCGTTCGAACCAGGCTCAAGTTGTATCTTAATGTTTGCATTGATAGGTTATATCCAACATGAGGGTGTTAATGACGGAAGACTCCAATAATGCTGTAAGCAGTTCTTTCCTGCTGGATGATGATTCAAGGTTGATCATGAGATTATTTTCTTTATTTCTTCCTTTATGTGCACTGATTTGGTATTTTTCGTCCAAGATTCTTAAATCATTTTGGTCCGGTCCTGTGTTTTCTGTTGCTCCTGCTGCAGCATTCCATTCTCTGTTGATGACCTCTCCAAGTCAATGGATCAGATTGATGTTTTAGACATTGAACCACCCTCACTTATTCGTGAAAATTCAGGGTTCAGCTTCTTACTGCCGGCCACGTCCTGACCAAAGATGGTTAATCGATCGCAATCCAATTCTTTGCTAAGACTTGCATAAACCCTGACTTGATTATTGGCCTATTAAATTGGAACCATTGGCTTTTCCCATCCTCAAATGGCTCGTCGCATGTGTTCTGCACTCTTGGTTTTATTTCTTTGAAACTTTGTCTCATCTCTGCATATGGCTGGCGTACATATTATTGATGGTTAATGCGTTTGATTTTAGGGCTTCACCGCGCATTTGTTCCTCTTAGCTATCTAGCTGCATTGCGGCTTTAACGTGAGGCTGCTCAGAAGGCAATTGAAGAAGCCTCTTCAATTGTTAGAGAAACACCTGTTCCTGTTGAAGATACTAAAAAGATTGATGCTTTAACTGCAGAAGTTGAAAATTTGAAGGTAGTGCTTGTGACCTAGGATATTAGAATGTCTCCATGCTCTTCAGCATTTTCCCTGGACTTAACCTTCAATTACATTTCACAATCGTGTGGTTTTAAACAATTTAGACTTTGCTACAATCTGAAACCCAAAGAGCCGATGATTCTGAAAGGAGATGTGCGGAAGCTTTGCAGTCAAGTGAAGACAAGCGTCAGAAATTAGAAGAAACCAATAAAAGAGTTCATCAACTTCAGGAATCTTTGAACAGGTAGCATCAACTAAAAAATGGTTTTGCATTGATTTCCTTTCTCTTTCAATATACAGATATTACCCTTATCTGACGTATAGCTGAAAATATTTTCTTCCATAAGTAGCCTTAAGCTCATGGTCATCAATGAGTCTGTTTAAATTCAAGTTGTTTCATCTCCCCTATATTTTTGTGGGGACTCCTTACTGGAAATTTGCTTTTGAAGGCCGGAAAAAACCTAAGTTAAAAATTAGGTCCCGATTACAGCACTTGTTGGGGTGTTTTGCTCACATATCTTGAGTATAACACAGAAAACCACTACGCCTGCATAATGCTAGGCATATCATTTTTTGTAAGTAGCAACGTAAGGGATCTTATCTTGAGATATGGTGGATTGGACAGATATGCATGACTCAAATGTATATACATTTTTAAGTAGGATGCCCAAATTGTTAACACAATGGCTTTCAATTACTAAACTTCTGTTAGATGTATCAGTATAGCGTGGAGTTGCATGGTCCCCATTCAAGATCAATGCAGTTAACTACTTTACTTGAATGACATCTAAAAGTTTGTGTTGTTCCACTGCATCTCGAAACAATCTATCTTAAGATGGATGTTTTTGTAGTCTACTGTGGGACATTTATTAGATGTGTTCTTTGGGAATGGCTTGACTTATGACAGATAATTCTGATAAGATAAAACTACTTGAATTCATTTGAACAACAGTAGTACATATGGATTTATCACTTGCAAGGTGGCCGATTTAGCACCCCTTGTTGCCTCTTTACTGAAGCAGATGCACTGCGCTGCCAGCTGTAACCTTGTCTCTCCCACTGTTCTAATGGTTGTGCCACCATCAATCTCAGGTTAAATCTGGGTCTGGCTGCTTCCTGACCTAAGAAAAAACTATTATCCTTGAAACAAACAAGTATTGGCTTTCTTATTTCTCGAGCGATAGTTCCATGATCCTGACCAGCAACTTGGTGGTGTAGGCAGAAAAGCCTTATTTGGAGCAATGTTAACCCCCTTCTTAAGTGATAGATGATTGCACAAACTTGCAAGAAGGTATCATCTTTAACGAAATAATGTTCCTTAAAGAGTTCATAAGGTTAAATTATAATTACTTCAGCAAGTCAATATAGAAGAGATATCAGGGTAAAAAGTGTAGCAAGAAATGATTGAGTGGACTTAAAGTCTAGAGATGATTGATTATTTTTAGCGGACTGATTGAGCGAGAAAGAACTGAAATCTGATATCTATGTGCTTTATCCTGGATTATATGGCCCTGTGGATATGACTAGCTGATGTATATGTCCCATTTTTAAGGTTCATTCTCAAAATTTCCATGCTCTGGTACTACCATCTAAATGACTCTTCTTTTGTTTTATCTATCCCCATCAGTACTCCTCAGTTGGTTCCCACATGATTTGTCTGCTAAAATGCCTCTTTTCTTTCTTAATCTTCTAAAAGAAAATAAATAGTTGCTTTTTGGTTGTCAATTAATGAGCACAAATCTTGTATCAAATGTTTTGTAAGCAATGTACAGGGAGAGCATAATTTTTGGCTTCCTAAAATTATGCTCAACTGAAAATTTAAAACTAAAAAGAAGATAAAAGTTATTTGAGGAGGAGTAGGTGCGCCTTCACCATTTTGAACCTATCTCGGGCTTTTCGATTTTGCCAATTGGTTGCAGGAGATATATCTTACTAACTGAAGAAAAGAGTAAGGATCCCTTGTGCCATCTGACTAATACTAGATATGATCTAGTGTGCCTCAGGATGATATACAGCATGTCGGACCAATTTTTGGAGCTGAAAATGACTTTGTCCTCATCCAACTTCAGTTCATCTTCACGATTTTTTGGTAGAGAAAGTCAGGGTGATGCTACGTCCACTTCTTCCGACACTACATCTACTGATTCTGATTTCACCTTTCCAGCTCCTGCTTCAACTCCAGCAAACTTTTCTTCATTGAATCCTGGTGCTTTTCAGCTCGTAGTTCAGGATCTTTCAGCGGCTGAGATGTCAGGTTAGTCTAGATTTATGGGAGTCTCCAGTCTGCTCTTGAACTCTTTTGATACCTCGTGTAAATTTTGATCCACCAGTCTTTTGCTAGTAGGGGTCTTTCTCTGAGACCCAATCCTTCCACTTTTGGTCTTTCCCACTTCTTTTTCACCTTAAATACTGATCATTTTGTTCCCAAAATGTGTTCACTTTTCTTTAAGTGAGACCCTCTCAAAGTGACTGTATTATATACACCTTTTTCTCTTCATGGTTGCATTGTGCAGGATCCGAAAACTGGGAAAATGATCGGGAGGGGGCATTCGATGACTTCTTCTGAGGAAACTTGCTCTTTCAAACTGTTGTATCTATAATCGTGCTAGCTAGATGTTAGTCTGACACTCTCTTGATCTGGCCATTTTGGCATTTAAGTAGGTACTTCAACCCAAAATTGATTAACATCTTTTGTACTATACAAACCAAGATTGAAAAGTTAGATACTCCTGAAAACTGGTTCAATCATGTACAGATTGTTTCCCATTAAGGTGGATTATCTACTTTTAAAGTCTATGAGATGTTTCTAGTTGATGCAGAGTTCTGTGTTGTTGGGGTGGCACTGTTAATTTTTTGTCCAATTTTTTTTTAGATTTTATGATGAAATTTGCTCCACTGGGTTAGTGATTAAATATTTGATCATGTTGTTAGGCCTGATTATCCTGGGAAGCTCATCATTTTGGTAGATAGGAAACCTGTAAAAGAAGAACCCTGCATGTATAACCAGCTAAATATATCTTTAGCATCTTTACTGATGAGTTAAAAATGATTCTCCTTCTTTTAGTGGTTCCTTTGTGTTGCAAATGGAACCATGATTTCAGGAATGATTCACCTACTGTTATAGCATGAACTGGCCTTCATTCTCCAGTTGGTGCTTAAATCTTTAAAATACCGATAGATTTAGAAGCGTGATCTTTAGTTGCAATACAAACTTTTGGGGTTCATCCTATGTCTTGCCTAAAAATCCTAGAGCTTTGTCAAGCATTTGAAAAGGTCCAAGGTCTTTTTCTTCCCGTTATCTAGAACTTTTTCTCACTATAATCAATCTGCAAGGAAGAAAGATGTTATTCCCCCTCTCACATCAGTACCAGTGGAAGGGCCGCATAAGCAGCACCAGCTGATTCCCTTTATTCAGGTTTTCATCTTCCTCCTCTTCATTTTCTGTACGATTCTGATTTCTTCTCTCTCCTCTTGTTGTCCTCAGATTTCATCTGCTCAATCCTATGCGTCTATGTTCCAATTCTACACATTTGTTGCTCATCCCCCAATTTGGACCCTAAATGTCTATGCTAGGAGAGAGCTGGTATAGAAAATCTTGGAATTATAAGTACGTTATGCATATATTAAGAGTTTGGGAAGATGTTGGATATCACCTTTGTGGGGACATCATTTGCTACTCTTTCATTTATCGTGGAAAATGCATTCTAACCCTTCATATACGGAATGACTACAGCTCTTCATGAGAAAAAAGTGAGAAATTTTAAACATTTATGTATTAGATGTAAATCTAGCTAGTAGCGGATGTTGAGTTTGCTCGAGTGGTGTTATGCTGACAAGTGGTGTAAGCAAAATCCTGTCTCAATACAGGATAAGGATGAAGAAAGCAGTTACTTGGTCAAGTTGTTTGTTGCAGAATCTCTACCGAAAATCTTAATTATGCCTAGTCTGGATTGCCTTCAAGCTGCAAAAACTGTTCTCTTACAATTTCTGTTTAAGGATACGAGCCTGCTGCACCTGATAGATGGACAAATAATCTAAGACAACTATGTTGATATCTTCGAAAGTTTCTTAAACCATTTCAAGTCTCTAAATCTTATCAGTTTTTGTTGAGGCAATCCAGCCTTTTCCTTGGGCTGATATGGTTATTAAGGCTATTTTTAACTTGATTTATGAATCCTTGACTGCTATCCATAAGTTATGTCAAATATTCAGTTATTTCTCAGAGTTCTTTATTGCGGGACGTTGTACTTATGCATATGAACTTATGTAAATATCAGTTCTTCTAGAGAATTTTGTGATACCGAATTTTTTTTGCCTTTTGGCAGAGGGCTCTCTCTCTCTCTCTCTCTTCCTCTACATATAATGCCAATATGTGCATGTGTGACTATGTTTGTGTTAGCCATACCATCTTTTGCCAATTTATTTCTTGCCCACTGTCTTGCTCTTCATTATCCTTTTAAGTAGATCCCATGCTCGTGAGGGTTCTTGCCATGCAATAAATAATGTTCATGTTCGTCCAGGTATGTGAGAGTTCCTAGGCTATTTTCAATTGTGAAATGCTTACTACTGGAACCGAAAAACAGGGAAGATGAGTTTTCACTAACATCAGTTAAAATAGCTTTTGCTTGCTTATGCTTGCTGTAGTTTTCTCTCTGGTAAACAGGATTGAGAAATTAGGACTAAAGAAATATGATCAGAACTTTTACTATTTCTAATTCTCCTTAACAGGAAAGAAAGTGTCTGATTCTCTCATAATGCTTCAGCTGGATTGCAAAATTGAGGATTTCTAGTTTTGATCTCAATTTGTAAGATCCTTGTTAACACAAGTAAACCAAATGATAAATTGCCTTCATAGCATAATCAATAGGTCTGTGTTGCTGGGCTGCTTATAAAATGCTGTTTAGCATTTTGACATTGACAATTTTCATTTGGGAAGTACATGATTTTGGTATGTTCTCTTTAGCAGTGCATGCAATATTATTATTATTATTATTATTATTACTTTTTTTTTTAAACAGTTTTCAGCTGAATATCTTATTCTTGTATAAGAGACAAGCAACAATCTTGAATTACTTTGTTATCCTTATCTATACCTTTTGTGCTTTCATGTTAGTACTGTCCTTGTACTGCAAAATGGATATTATGCTAGGTACAGTTGATGGAAGTATTGTCCTTGTGAAAATAGGCTTGAAGAGAAACTTTCCAACTTGGAATCAGAAAACAAAGTTCTTCGCCAGCAGGCCCTTGCAATGGCACAAAGTAATAAGTTGCTATCCAGCCGCTCAAGGTCAATTATGCAGGTAAATTTCGAAAATTGAACTGTTTGTCTGTGATTACAATGTATTATCAGTTACTAACACCTTCGGTTTCGTTGTTATTTTTTAAAACTGACAGAGGACTGAAAGTACAAAAACCAATGTCGTAAGTTCAACTTTAAGAGTTTATAGTTTAATTCTAATATTTCTGTATATGTTAGGGTTATATTCATATATTCACTGTTACAAATTTATAGGACCTACATAGTGCTTCAATGAATGCAAGGGATTCTTCAGAGGCAGAGGGAAGACCTCAGAAATCGCTTAATGAGAAGCAACAGGAGTATCAGGACTTGCTCCTTCGCTGTGTTGCGCAGCATCTAGGCTTCTCTAAGGGTAGACCAGTTGCTGCCTGCATCATATACAAATGCCTGAGACAGTGGCATTCATTTGAAGCTGAGAGGACAAGTATTTTTGACAAAATAATCCAGACCATCGGCCATGCTATTGAGGTGATAAGAAGAAAACTCACTGTTTACCTGCAATTGAGGACTGGTATTAATAATTGAATTTTCTTTCTAGCAGAAGACTCAGGACAATAATGATGTCTTAGCCTATTGGCTATCCAATGCTTCAACATTGTTGCTGCTGTTGCAACGCACACTGAAAGCTGGTGGCACTACCGGGGTGACTACTCAACACCGGCGATCACCATCAGCAACTCTGTTTGGGAGAATGACACAGGTAAAATATCAGATCTACTTCTAGATTTCACTCCATAAAACATATACATGTTTTACAATACAACCTTCTGCAGAGTTTCCGGGGAACTCCTCAAGATGTCAACCTTTCTCTGATTGATGGTGATTTGGCTCGTAGAGTGGATATTCTACGCCAGGTTGAAGCAAAATACCCTGCGTTGCTTTTTAAACAGCAACTTACAGCTTATGTGGAGAAAATTTATGGAATGATCCGTGATAATTTAAAGAAAGAGATTTCTCCAGTGCTTGGGTTGTGCATTCAGGTGCTAGCCTATATTCAGAAATCATAACATATTTGCACAAAGTATTTGATCTGATTTGAAATTGCATGACTAATGCAAGTTTAATCATCCAGGCACCAAGACTATCCAGAGCAACCTTGCTTAAGGGCACAGCACGCATGCTTGCTAATGCTGCTGCTCAGGAGATTTTAATTGCTCATTGGCAAGGCATTGTGAAGAGCCTAGGAAACTTTTTAAGTATCTTAAAAGCTAATCACGTGAGAATAGCATTTGCTGCATCTTTGTTTGGTGTGCTTTCTTTTATCTTATTTCTTGTTCAGCTTCAGGTTGGCATGATTTTATTATACTATTCAGTTGATGTTGTGTTCTTTTTTTATTTTTATTTGGGTTTAAATACCCAGCCCTGGTTACAGCATAAAACTTTCTGTTACTACAGTTTTGATTAGAATAAACATAGTACCTCTGGGGTTCTGTCATTGCTTCTGTTTTTGAATACATTCAATCATCTTAGATTTCCTTGTAATCAATTCATATACCTTATCATCTGTTTCCATTCAAGAGTTTCATGGTTATACTCGATTAGATCTGTCAGGGTGACCTCCCCATTCTTTAATCTCTGTTTTAGGGGAACAAAAATTGGTGTTGGTGGCCAACATTTTCTGGGGAAATAGTCTCTAAAGGTTGTTGTGTATTCTTTCCCAGTTAGGTCATTGCATCCACTGAACAGAGAAGTTAGAATAAATAAAGTTTTGAACTGTAATAGGACCATTGGGACTGTTTTTGATCCTTTCAAAACAATGGTTTGGGTTTATTCCCGGTACTTGTACCCTTGATCACTTCTTTTCACATCAAAAAGTTACGCTGAATCTTTTAATTATCCTGCTATTTTACTATAAAATTTATTGCTTGTTCTTCTGCTAAGTAATTTAAGTTGTTAATTTTGTTTTCAATTCAACAAATTCAAGTCTTGCAGCTAAGATTATCTGAATGGATCCCGAACCTTGACAGTCCAAATTGGTACCATGGGCCGAATACCCTGATTACATACTCCCCCAAAACATTGACCTCATTGGTTTTCCTGGCTTATAAGACAGTTGAAATATCACTTCCTAGTAGTCAACTGTCATGGCTATGAAGTGTCTCTGTATTTATATAACCTATATCTTCATATCTTCAAGATTTAGGGAAACATATAATGTTAACCATTGTACTACGTATAGGGCAATAACCAACCTTGTTGATACTAGATATTTTGTGGTAACTTGTCTGATTATTGTGTTTAAAATCATGCTAAGTACACATCTCGCTACAGAATGTCGGCAATGTCTTATTTAATGATGGATAGCTACTTAGTCTGATCTTGTAGTTCAAGGATGGTATGATGGAATTGCCAAAAACTTGCGCTTATGATTGACAATCCTTGTTCTATTTATTGTATTTTTGGTGATGGAGAGCTGTGTTTACTTTTAGGTGCCTCCCTTTCTGGTGCGCAAGATTTTCACGCAAATTTTTTCTTTCATCAATGTGCAACTCTTCAACAGGTATGTTGTCTTTTGGCATTTGCTTGTTTCCCAACTGTTTGCTATATTATGGAGTCTAGTTTATCAACTTATTTCAGTTCTTCCCGTGTCTATTTTTCATTGTTATAGCCTCTTGCTGAGACGAGAATGTTGCTCGTTTAGTAATGGAGAATATGTGAAGGCTGGGTTGGCTGAGCTGGAGCACTGGTGCTATAATGCTACTGATGAGGTTAATCTTGCTTTCCTGATATACACTTTCTTGTATTGATTTCCTTGCTAAAGAAGAAATTTTGTTGCAGTATGCTGGTTCATCCTGGGACGAGCTTAAGCATATAAGACAAGCGATTGGGTTTCTGGTACACCACCATCTTCTTCTTGCTGGAAAACTTTCTGCTCGTTATCATGTTAATTGAAGAAAAGGCAGTTACAGTGTCCGTTGGACAATTTGATCCTTTCATTCAAGCATGCACCTTTGATTGGAATCAGTGAACATATTCTGTATTCGGAAAATGTTTGAGGTCTTAATCATTGATTCTGTATTTTTGGGGAAGCTGGGGGGTGGGGGGGAAGCGGGGGCAAGTGAGGTGAGATTGAAATTCCGCACATTTCACCACTTGAAAGTTATGATGATGTCTTTGATTTTTTTGCATCAGGTTATACATCAAAAGCCCAAGAAGACGCTCGATGAAATAAGTCATGATCTATGCCCTGTAAGTAGTGCACATGAAAGACTATGTTTAGGCTTTTGTGATAGAACGTTTGAGATCTTGCTGATTACATGTTGATATGATTTACAGGTGCTTAGCATTCAACAGCTCTACAGGATCAGCACAATGTACTGGGATGACAAATATGGCACGCATAGTCTTTCCCCAGATGTAAGTCCTCCTGACTGATTTACCAATTCAATGTTTAGCGCTACTCTATTGATCTGTTAGTACTCTCTCAGATATCGAGCTTTACTTGAAACTGGGATGATTGCATAGTTTTAATGGCTGACCTAGCTCCTCTGAGATTGTTATTAACATCCGACTAGATATCAAAATACTAATTGATTTGCTCTTTCACGATAGCATGGTATGAGAAAAAGTGCATTAAAAAGAAAAGTACGAATCACTCGTTCGAACCAGGCTCAAGTTGTATCTTAATGTTTGCATTGATAGGTTATATCCAACATGAGGGTGTTAATGACGGAAGACTCCAATAATGCTGTAAGCAGTTCTTTCCTGCTGGATGATGATTCAAGGTTGATCATGAGATTATTTTCTTTATTTCTTCCTTTATGTGCACTGATTTGGTATTTTTCGTCCAAGATTCTTAAATCATTTTGGTCCGGTCCTGTGTTTTCTGTTGCTCCTGCTGCAGCATTCCATTCTCTGTTGATGACCTCTCCAAGTCAATGGATCAGATTGATGTTTTAGACATTGAACCACCCTCACTTATTCGTGAAAATTCAGGGTTCAGCTTCTTACTGCCGGCCACGTCCTGACCAAAGATGGTTAATCGATCGCAATCCAATTCTTTGCTAAGACTTGCATAAACCCTGACTTGATTATTGGCCTATTAAATTGGAACCATTGGCTTTTCCCATCCTCAAATGGCTCGTCGCATGTGTTCTGCACTCTTGGTTTTATTTCTTTGAAACTTTGTCTCATCTCTGCATATGGCTGGCGTACATATTATTGATGGTTAATGCGTTTGATTTTAGGGCTTCACCGCGCATTTGTTCCTCTTAGCTATCTAGCTGCATTGCGGCTTTTCTGTATCCAACGTTAATTCTTCAAAAATGTTAATAGAGTCTATCTAATGCCATTAATAATAATAATGTAATCAAGCTTCCCGGCGCTTTCACCTTGCGGGAGAAAGAAGGATAAACGCACAAAACCCCCCCAAATATGGAGCTACTTCCCCCATAAACATTGACCTTGCTTAGATATGTTTTTTTTTTCTTTTTTTTTTTCAATATGCTATTGTCCATACATTTTTTCTGCTTTCAAAGATTGGCATGCATCTTTTACAGGATTCGACTTCTTGTATCGAGCCATAATACCCCAGTGGATGTTCTAGGCAAACGATGATAATTTCGAAGTCAAATAATCTAACTGACCTTTTGAAACTTGTCGCAAAACTTGAACATTTTCTATATATATATATAACAGAAACGAATTTTCTTATTTTGGCTCCCATATCTTCTTTTCCCTACTTGAAAGCCCAAAAAAAAAAAAAAAAAAAAAAAAAAAAAAAAAAAAAGGCAAATGCATTTTCGAAAGAGAGTAGTACGCAGAATAAAAGAAAGATCTTCTTTGGTAGGCTAGTTTTGTCGTAGGAGCCTCTCAATCAGTCCATCAACAGAAAACAAATTGCGCTTAATTCAGGTCCTCGTAATTGTAGTCGTGTCAAAAGAATCTTGAATGAATATCCGCTAGACGGCCCACACCTGCATCTGAAAATAAAGTAAACGCATAATTTGGCAGACCGAGCTTTTTGTATACATTGGCTAACGGGCTGAGTAACAGCTAGATTTGGTAAGAGACATATGCAGGTGGATTTTTACACAGCACATTTACTTACACCCTCCTCCTGCCTTTAGTATAAAGCAATCAATAACAACAGTACACTTGCTGGCTCCTACACCAGAACTCAGTCTCTGCTAGTGCTGCTTTTTCTTCAGCAATATGTTTGGTAATTCAGCTCTCTCTCTCTCTCCTCCCCTCCAAACTCTGAGTTCGGCTACCAATACTTTTAATCTTCTCGAAGCAAAGGTAGGCCGGCATGGAGAAAGTGGACTTGAGTGGTGAAAAGTTGAAGAAAGGGACATGCTGCTGGGACCATGCCAAGTTCAGCTACGAGAAACATGGTGCATATGGATTCTCATGGCAACAAAGAAGCTACAGATGTAGTTTTTGCAATAAAGAGTTCAGGTCTGCGCAAGCTCTTGGTGGTCATATGAACATTCACAGGAGAGAGAGGGCTAGAATGAGATTGTCACCTTCATCGGATGGCCTCAACTCAACCCCTCACACTAACCCTAATTTCAGCTCACCTTCATCAGCTCTTTCTGCGGACACGCTTTCGTCTTTCGCAGGCTTCTCTTCACCAATATCCTCCGCCTCTACTGCTAGTCTGCCACTGCTACTGCTGCTGATGCTGATGCTGATGCTGATGCTGCTAGTGAAGAACAAGCTGCCGCTGTCTGTCAATCTGAATGTGATGATCATCGTTTGACTTGGGCAAGAAGACATGTACCAAAGAATCTCAACAAAAGAGCTCTTCTAGAAGTTAAAGAATTGCCAATTTTGGCTAAAAGAACTGAAACTAGGGTTTGGAAAAAGAAAGAGGTTGTTAGATTGGACTTAAACATGGGTTTTTTCCGGGATGCAAAGGATGATCTGGATTTGGAGCTTCGAGTCGGGCTCTCTTAATTTAGTCGTATTAGGTGAGAGCCGCAGACATTGTTCATTGATCATTGCATTTAGATGTGTGTGCTCTTTCTAAATCTCATGTTTAGCTTCTTTAATTGAATGAAAATACCTTACTTTCATTGTCAACTTTATACTTAATGAGGGTAAACATAGATCAAATGAAAGGGCAAAAAAAAAAAAAAAAAAGTTCCAATGCCTTAGTGATTTCAAAATCCCTCCCTATTAATACTTCTAGATTTGTGCTTCTGTCTGCAGACAGGTAGGGGCAGTATGTGTGGGCGTCATTAGGTACATTTAAAGGGTTCAAGTCCTGAAAAGTGAACGCATCTTCTTGTGTGCTCGTTTTCAGTTTTATCCGGCTGTCGTGATGAACAATGTCTGCATCGGAAGTTAGCTTGAACTTCTCCTCCTTTGATTGCACCACTAGATTGCTGTAAATGTTGCTGCTCCTGCAATCTATGGCGTGTCAACATGAAAAGAAACGCCTAAACTAAATCAACAAGGAGGATGCAAGTCAGAACCCAAGCTACAGAAAACAATTTTCTGGGTGAAGTGACTAGTTCTTAATGTCGTATAAGCTATTATTCCAGTTAGTTAGTTAATATGTTTTCAAGTCTCCACGGGAAAGCAAAGTGTCGTGTCAGCTGAAAAAAGAAAATAAAAAGGAAGTAAAGAATAGATCCTTCTTTATAAGCTTTAATTTGTAATTTGTAATTGGCAAAGAAAAAAAGCATTTCAGTGCCTGCATACCGGGTGGCCGCACAAAATGTCTAATTAATACCCGACATTAATAAAGGATACTCCCTCAGTCCCGTTTTGTTAGTCTTGGTTTTTTTTTTTCACACAGATTAAGAAAGTGTAATTAGTTTGGTTGGAAACATAAATTTAGATTAATAATTTCCTAAAATATCCTTATGCTAATCACGAAGAGTGCCAATTAATATCAGTTACAACTAATGAGTTGGTATTGGAAAAGTTCAATGTATTTAATGTAGTGGGTTAGTATTTAATAACAATGTATTAATAACAAGATATTTAATAAGGGTATTTTAGACAATTTGAAAGATTACTACATTTTTTAATGGAAAAGTGGACTACAATTTGGGACAGACGAAAAAGAAAAACAAGACTATCAAAATGGGACGGAGGGAGGGAGTAGTTCGTTACATCTCCATATATATTCCGAGTGCAATGGATTTCAAATGCCCAGTTGTCCTCCAGTCCTTGAATTAAATGTCTTTGAAGATCCCTCAAACTTTTAGGGGCACTTCCCTGTTAACATTTGGAAACGGGTACGTAATGAATGTGTCATAATTATCTCAATTAACATTTAAACGATTCTTTTGCATAACTTGATCAAGTGTACTCCCCCGTTTCTGACGCTGTCAGAAACTCCATCTCTAATGAATGATTCAATTCTAATAAGATTTGCAGTGAAATAAACGTAAACCTTCCGGCCGGGCATCTGCCGGATGGCCAGAAAAGGCTCATCGATCATCGGGACTAGTATCTTTTCTCTTTTGGCATAAAAAGGTAATGATTCATGAAACTTGAAAGCATTAAGGATGATCATCAGAAGCCAGCAATGTTATTATTATTCTTTAACATATGATTGATTACACAACATAAAACCTAAAAACAAACAGCAAGTGAGGAGTTGTCCTTGCTTCCATGGTCCAAACACTAAATTCTCTTGTTGCAAGAAGAACAAGAATGATTTGTATGAAAACTCGATGAGATCACTCGAAAAACAAGTAAAATGGTTTGTGTAGAGAAGTAGAGCAGGAAAGCTAGGACCGCAGGAAGAGAACTGGAGGATGATCAGGAGAGGAAGACATAAATCTCCACGTACGTTCTACTTCTATGTCACTCATTCCCTTGAAAAATCAAAGTGAATGGCTGTAGCGTGGCCCTGCAGGTAGAATTTTGGTGTGCGCACAAATATATCCTATCCTCAACTTTTAACTCCATTGACTATTCTCTCTCTCCCTCTCTTCACCTCTAAAATTTGTGTGCATGCGCTCAACTACTCCTACTTTACTGCCTGCAATTCGCAATGTCAGAAGGGTACCAGTGATTTATATACGCACGTCAATGTATGTATATATATATATATATACATATATTTCTGTGACTTTCTGTGTATATGTGCAAAATTATGTTCTAACAGTTCGCCCTTCTTTTTATTGGAGCTGGATCCACACACCTGAAATCCTTTTTCTAACAGTTCTCTGGCCTTTTCTTATAATTGTTTCAAATTGTTAAGATTAAAAGTTAATTTGATTAGCATAAAGAAGAATATACCGATCGAGTAGCTGGTAGTACATTTATACTATTCTTTTTTCGCCTTCTGTTTTTGGGTCCTCCAAAATCAACATTGCTCATGACGTATTTCATCACTTATATTAGTTACACATAAAGTTTCATTTCAAACTGATTAAATTTTACCGTCTGATTAATCTTCGAATTTTGTTATAATTTTGATTCATCTTTCACTGTTCAAACGTTTTGTGTAAATTGAATATCAAAATTTTTTCAAAAGAATATCATTTTTTTTTAGTATTTTGATCTAAATATTAAAAGAAAAGTAATGACATAATCGAATGACTTTTAAAATTTTCAATAATTCAAACAAAAATAAATAAAAATTTTATAGAAAAAAAAAATCCAATGAAGAAGGAAGATTCTATTCGTTTTGATCCGCATAGCTTTGTAAAAACCACACTTACACGCCCACTAGTCTGAGCAACGAATTTTAAAACCTCCGTAGTTTTGCCGGATGAACAAAAAGGTATTGCACAAATGACTAGGTCCCATTCCCACCCCAGCTCAAAAAAAGGAAAAAAAACACTAAAGGAGTTTGTCTGAATTGACTTCAAGAGGTGGAAAATCAGCATCAAACAAATGCTACGGGGAGAAAGAAAATCTTGATGAGGAGAAGCGCATACTTCTTGGAAGTGGTTGTTGTTGTTGTTGTGTGATCAAATTTTAATGGAAAAAAGAAATGAAAATTTGCTCGTAGCCCATACTTCTTGGTTCCTCGGCTTAGGCCTTCAGTTCGTTCCCTACACTGCAAAACGAACGTACCATGTTTTCATGTTAGTTAAGGTCATAAATTTTGAATGGTTTTTTATTTCTATCCTGTCTGTCTTAATTGACCTGCCCCCTCCTTGTTAGGTCAATCACGTAGGATCCCTTTTTATCAATGCTTCGTCAAACTACTTTGAAAAAAAAATATGAATCTCGGACTAAAAATATTTAGATGTGTGTAAATACTAACTGTTAATTGAAACATTTTGACTAGATAATTAACACAAGAAATTGTTAGGAAATTGGCTTAATTTCTTTTAGGTAAAATTCCTGTTTTGTGTGGAAGTAACTAGTTTCCTAATTGGATTTAGTTACTTGAAGTAGTAGTCAAGTAAATTCCTATTTAGCTAGAT